TTAGGGAAAAAGGCTAGAATTTTTTAAATAAAAAGTTTTTCTTTAAAAATTAAAAACCCAGCCTTTTACGGGGGGCAAAGTTAAGGGGGTTAAAGAACCAAAAGGGAAAATAAATGAAAAATGTTTTTTACTTGGGAAAAATATGGGGGGCCCCCCAAAAAAGATTTTTAGGGTTTTTGTTTTTAGTGGGAAGAAAAAAATTTTTTCGGCGGGGGGTGTATCAAAGGGGGGCCCCCCCGGGGGTTTGGAAATTTTTTCCAAGGCCCTTTAAACCCCTTCCAAAATTAAATAAAAAAAACCCCCAAAATTTTAATTATTTTTCCGGGACTACACTGATTTTTTTTCTTAAATCCCAAATAAAAAAAAAATTTTTGGGAAAATATGGGGGGGGGAAAAAGGGGGAAAAGGGGGGTTTTATTAGTGAGGGGGAAATTTTAAAATTTTCAAAACCGGGCCCCCTTTTTTGGTTTGGGGCCCCAAAAGCCCCCCTTCCCCCCGATTGCCTTTTTTGGGGGGTTTCTGGGGCGCCCCTAAAGAATTTGGAAAAGCTAAAACTTTTTAAACAAAAATGCTTAGTTTTTTAAAAAAATTTTTATTGGGGCTTTCCAACCCAATTTTTTACACGGGAAGCAAAATTAAACACCGTTTTTTAAGTGGGGGGTCTAATTTTTCCTTTGGGAAACCCCAAAATCCAAACCCGCTGTAAAATTGGGGCAAATTCCCTCGGGCCAAAGGGTTAAAAAAAAGGAAAAATTTGGAAAAATTTTTTGGGTTTTTTTTCAGTCCCTATTCCCTCCGGGTTGGGGGAATTCTAAAGGGGTGGTGGGGGGGGTTTTTATTTTTGAAATTTTTATGTTTTTTAATAATTTTTGTTTTTATTTTGCCCGGGGGCCCTTTTTTGGCCCTTTTTTTAAATTTTTGGGTAGGGCCCCAGGGGGCCCCCCCATAAAAAAAATTTTTTTTTGGGGTTTAAATTCCCCCCCCCCCCCCCCGCCCCCTTTAAAAGGTTTTAAAAATTAAAAAAAAAAACCCTTGGGGGGCGTTCCCCCCCCTTTAATCCGGGCCCCCCTACTACCCAAAAACAATAAAATTTTTTTACTGTAAAAAAAACCCCAACTTCCCCCCTTTTAAAAATTTCCCCCCCGGTTTTTCCCAATTTTGGGGGCCCTTTGTACATTTTGTAACCCCTTTAAAAAATAGGGGGGGTGGTTTTCCCTTTTTTAAAAGTAGTGTTTTTTCCCCAAATTTTTGGGGAAAAAAATAAAATGGGGTTTAAAGGGAAAAAGTAAAAAATTTACCCGTATTTGTTTTAAAAGGGGGCCCCAAAAATTTATTCCCCTCCCCTTTTTTAAAATATTTTTTTGGGTTTAATATTAAAAGTTTGGGATATTATTTGGGAAACCCCCCATTCCCTTCCCCTTTTTTTTTGCCGGCTAGGGGTTTTTCCGGGGTTTGTTTTTGGAATTTTGGGGGGTTAAGGGTTTGGGGGATTTCGGGTTTAAAAACCCTTCCCGTTTTTTGGCCCCGGGAAAAATTTTGGTGGGGTTTTGGGGGGATTTTGGGAAACCCAAATAAATTCAATTTAATTTCCCCTTTTTTTACCGGAAAAATTGGAAAAACCCAAAATTTGATTTAAAATTTGGGGAACCCAAAATGGGGGGCAGGGGCGGGGCTGTGGTTTGGGGGGTTTCTGTTTTAAACCCCGGGTTGTGTGTTATTCCCCCGTGGTCCCGTTAAAATTTTTCAAGGTTTTTCTTACAAAAGCCTGGAAAGGGCGTGTAAAAATCCAGGGGCCTTTTTTTCAATAAAAAAAACTAGGGGGGGAAGGGGGCCCCCAGGGTTTTTTTTTGGCCCCCCTTGGGAGGGGCCCCAAACCAAGTTAAAGGTTTTTTGTTTTTGGGCTTGTCCCCCTGTAAACCCCAGTGGGAAAAAGGGGGGGTGCCCGGGGGCCCGGGCCCTTTTTTTTGGTTTTCCCGTTTGGGGGGATATGGGAAAAATAGGCCCCGTGTGAATTTCCCCTTTAAAAATTTAGCAAAAGGTTTTTTATTTTTTAGGTTTTTGCGGGGGTGTGAAAGGGTTTTGGGGGTTGGGGGGTGTTTCCCACGCCCAAACCAAAATTTAAAAAGGGTGATCCCCCTTTCTTTTCTGGGCCCTTTCCCAAATGGTTTTTTGCTGGGGGCTGGGAAAACTGGATTACATTCCCCCAAAAAATTAATTTTTTGAAAAAAAGGAAAAATTTTTGGGAAAAACAAAAAAAGATAAAGAGGTTTTGGGGTTTTTTCTTTGGGGTTTTTGGAAAATTTTATTTTTTGAAGCTTAGGGAAATTTGGGGAAACCCTAAAACAAAAATTGCCAAAAAAATTTAATTTTTTTTAAAAAAAAAATTTAAATTTAAAAGTTGGTTCCCCCCCCCCCAAATTTCCCTTAAATTTAAACTAATTTAAACCCCAGTTGTTTTTGATGGGGTTTTAAAAAACCCTTTAAACCTCGCGTTAAAAAGGGGAAAAACCCGGGGTTTAAAGGGGGAAGGAAAATTTTTAAAACCCATGGGGAAAAAGGGAGTTTTGGGGCGAGTGGTTTTTTTCAGAGAGCAAACAAGGGGGAGGGTTTTTTAAAAACCACCCTGGGCCCGGGGGGGGAAACAATTTGGGTTTAAAAACCCAAAAAAGTAAGGGTTTCCCCTTGCAATAGGGACTTTTTTTTTTTCCCGTAAAACCTTTTTTTTTAAAAAAAAAACATTTTAAATTTGAGGTTTTGAAAAAAAAAGATATGTTTCTGGGGAGGGAATTTCCCGAAAAAAAGAAAATTTTTTAAACCCCCCCGTTCCCCCCCCTGGGGCTTTTTTGTAAATTTTTTTAAAAATTCCCCCAATTTTTCCTTAAATTTTCCGGGGCTTCTTTATTTTTCCCTTTTTAAATTTTTTTAAAAATTGGGGCCCCAAATTTGGGGAATTTTTTGGGAATATAAAGGAAAAACCCAAAAAAATTTTTCTTTTCTTTTGGGGGATTTCATCAAAAAGCCTTTTTAGCCTTTTGGGCCCCCCCCCCTTTTTGGGGGCCAGGGGGGTTAAAGGCCCCTTTTTGTTCCCCCCTTTTCCCAAAAAACACCCCTGAAAATGGTTATTTGTATTTGGCTGGGGGTTTACCAAAATTTTTTAAATTTGGGGTGGGGGCCAAAACCCGGGGGGGGAAAAATTGGTTAGGGGGAAATTTTCGGGTTTTTCCGGGAAAAAACCCCAAAAAATTTAAAGGTGGGAACCCCCCATTAAGGGAAAACCCTTTGTTTGGTTTTTGGGGGGGTTAAACAGGGGGAAAGGGAAACCCATTTTTTTTTTTTGGGTTTTTCCCAAATTTTTATTCTAAAAAATTTTAAATGAAAAAATTTTTTGGGGAAAAAAATTTTTTCCGGGGGCTTTGGGAAAAAAATTTTTTTAAAATTAAAAAATTCAAAAACCCCCTCCCCAAAAGGGGGGCCCTTGGGGGGGGGGAAAAATTTGAAAAACGAAACGGGTTAGGTCTTTTTAATTTTGGACCCCTTTTAAAAAAATTTTTTGGAAATTTTCCCCCCGGATCGTTTTTTAAAAAATAAAACCCTCCTGTAAAAAATTTTTGGGGGGAAATTTTCCCGTAAATTTTCCCCAAGAAATTTTTATATGTAAAAAAAATTTTTTAACTTTTTGGGGGGGGGGGATTTTGGGCCCGGGCCCCAAAAATTGGGGTTTTATTTTTTAAAAAAAGGGGCGCTTAAATTTTATACGGGGTGGGGGTTTTGTGGGTTTTCCCCCCAAATTTAATTTTTTTTTTTCAAAAATATTCTTTAAAAGTTGGCCTAATTTTTTAAATTTTTTTAAAAAATAAAGGGTTTTTTTGGGGGGTTTTAAGGAAAAGAAGGGATTTTTTAAATTTTTTAAAAAAAAATTTTCCCCAAATTTATAAGGGAGGGCCCGTTAAATTGCTTTTTATTTTGGAAAAAGGGTGAAAAAACACGGGGAAACCCCCTTAAAAAAACGTGGGGGGGCCCCCCAAGGGTTTTTAAAATGAGGAAAAGAAGCCAAAAGGGAAAAACCCCAAAAAAAACCCAACCCGGGGGTTTTCAAGGGTTTTGGGAAGGGAACCAGTTTTCCCCGGGAAGCTGTTAAAAAAATGGAGGGAAAATTCCCCGGAATTTTTTTTTTGTTCCCCCTGGGGGAAAAGGCCAAGGGGAAAAAAAAAAGTAAAAAACCCAAAGGGGGGGAGTTTAAAAACATTGATAAATTTTTTAAATTTTTTTTTTTCCCTTTAATTTTCAAAAAGTAATTTTAAACCCGGTTTTTTTTGGGGGTTTTTTTTTAAAAAAAAAAAAAAAAAATTTTTTTTCTTGAAGGGAGGGGTTTTTTTTTTATAACCAAAAAATTTTTAAACCCTTTTAAAACCCCCAAGGGTTTTTTTTTGGGTTTTTTTTTTTTTTCCCCTTTTTCCCCTTTCCCTCCCCCAAACCTCGGGGAGGGAAAATTCCAAAAAATTCCCAAAAACTTCCCAGGAACCCCCCCTTCCCAAAAATTTAAATCCCATACAATACTCCCAAAAAAATTCCCCCATTAAAAATAAAATTTTTTTAAATTTAAAAAAAAATTTAAATTTCCAAATCACTAACCCTAACAAAAACAAAACCTTTTAAAGGGTTTTTTTTTTGTTCCCCGGGAAAAAAAAAAAAAACGGATTTAAGCCCCCCTTTTTTTTTATCAGACCCATTTTAAATTTAAAAAAATTGGGGTTCGGGGAAAGGTTTTGGTTGGGGGGCTTACTTTTTTCCCTTTTAAAATTTAAAAAAAAATGGGGGGGGTTTTTTGTTTTGTTTGAATTTGGGGGGGTCCCCTTTCAGGTTTTTTCTTTGGATCCATGCCAGAGCAGAACAATTTTAACAGTTAAATTTATCCTATAGATTTTTATTAAAAGTGTTCGTTTTATTGTAATACTGTAATTCGTCATAAAGCTCATATATATATTATATGACTCTCGCAGATACACGAAGATGCAAACGGCGAGATATATGTTGACGGAATTTCGACACAAACAGTCGCCAACAGCCAGGAAGTTCTCAACTGTTTAAAACAGGGGGCTTTGTGCCGAACTACCGCCAGGTACCAAAACTCACTTTACTTCCTTTTTCCGGTCTCTATTTCCTTTTCCTCATGATTTGTGACATTGTTGCCCTTTGACTTTTTTGTCAGGTTTCTAAGTTTTTAATCACTGTCTTTTCAGTACTGAGATGAACGCAGTCTCGTCAAGGTCACACGCCATGTTTTATCTAAAAATACATCAAACCAGAGTTGCTAAAGTCGAAACTGTGGAGGTACTCCTTTTTACTGTGACTGAATTAGCTATTACATAATATGACGGTTCAAGTTTTGACATGTCCTTGAAGCATGACTTCTTTGGAATAAGGATCTAAAATTAGGCTTCAGATTTCGGAACCGTCCTTGACGTCCGACCGAAGATGAGAAACTTGAGAGTGGCGCGCGCAAACTTTGCGTAACGCGCGATGCAATTATTGTATTGCGAGCGATCACCGTCCTTGTTGTTCAGAAATCTTTTGAATTTAATTTCATTGTCACGTGACCGTTTCCTTATCTAAGATTAGATTGTTTTGCGTAACTTTCGTGTGCACATTGGCTTCTGGAAGTTGTGATAGCAAGCAAGCAATATTTTTGCTCATACATAGATGATGTTTAAATAAGAGTCCAAAGTTTAATTCATTTAGCTTGGCGGGAAAATCGAATAAGTGTTGACAATATGCGATGTGACACGAGCAGATTTTTCGTCAGTGTGTCAATGACGTTGAATATATGCGGATACAACTGTTAAAGGCGTGACATTGCGCTGAGTATGACGACAAAAAGTGAATCCTTTTTAATCTCCGATCTGAAGCCTACATTGATTTTTAAAGAGACGGGCGCGGCTGACGGCTGTCCAAATTATCCGTATCAGGATAATGCATAACAAATATTGCAATACATGTCCGGAAATTTGTGATTCAAATATACATTATACACAAAAACAATCAGTACTTACTCAATAATGAACATTTCAAAGGGCGAAGAAGCTCCGCCACAAGAGTTTGAGAATCTGACCGCTAAGTTGGTGTTTGTTGATTTGGCTGGATCAGAAAGGTTAAAACGAACGGGTGCTACCGGAGACAGAGCTAAAGAGGGTATCTCAATCAACGGGGGACTGGTTAGTGTATTTATTATTCAAACCGGAAATTTCAACTTGGATATCTTCAAACGGTTTAGATGTCCAAATATGGATGAATTGTAATGAAACCTTTGTGACCACAGTCTAACTGTGTTTGCCTCAAATCATCACTAACCCCTCCTTCCACCCCTCAGCTAGCACTTGGTAACGTGATCTCAGCGCTGGGCGACGAGAAGCGGAAAGTATCACACGTGCCGTACCGAGACAGCAAGCTGACACGTCTGTTACAAGACAGCCTGGGTGGAAACTCCCAGACTCTAATGGTGGCGTGTGTTAGCCCGGCTGATAGGGACTTCATGGAGACTCTTAACACTCTGAAGTACGCTAACAGAGCCAAGAATATAAAGAATAAGGTCAGTGGGTGTTGTTTATGTAATACATTTTATTGTCTATTTTCTATGTGACACTGTACTATTTACTTGCTTTATAAGGTTATAGTCGACGTTTACTTCTCACTTAATGAGGAGCTACATTTGAAGCAAAGCCATGGAAAAAACCGGTACACACTAACGTTGTTGCCTTTGCAAGATCCTTCGGCTTCCTTAATTAACCGGTTACTTAGAAGCCATGTGGCTGTTGGATTTGCCGAAGAAAATTATAATTAAATATGAAATATTCCAGAAACCCTATTCTGTACGGTGTGCCACAGAGTCAATATCCTGGGCCACATAGAGATTATTCTGATATATCAGTAAACAAGATGTAACCAACCTGGCCACAGTAAATTACCACGTTAGTGTCAAGACCGTGTTGTTAAGGTGGCATCTGACCTCTGGTAATATTGGGATCATTTTACACAATCACATTGTAGCCCTGGTTTGCTGGTTAATTGTAAAGTGTTCACCGTTGGTACCTGCATATCAGTTGCCTGGGAGATGACAGATTTAGTAACAATCCCGGACAGTCGGTAACAGTAACAATCCTATAGAGAGTGTGAAATTGGAGGAAATTGTAAAGTGACTTGATCGGAGAGATGATTTGGAAACAATTGTTGTTAACTCGATATATATATACATCCATGTGTAGGATATACATTCTGAAGGACATTGTCTGTAATTTGATCAGATTGATAAGTTTCAGTAGTTCCAGTGTATCTTATATAATTGGTAGCAGTTTTTAGAGCAGCGACTACAACGACAACATAATTTACTAAGAGTTTCCGAATACGTAGTGGGGCCTCAAATAGATCTCATATAGTTACTAATTAATCAAGCAAATACAAGATAAAACAATCTTATAAGATACAGGAAATGTATACTATACTTCCTTCCTATCTTCGTGTATTTTAAGGATTTTATCAAAGCTAAAAACAAGGGGTCCGGTTTAGGAGTAAAAGAGAATTAACACAGATTAATGTTACAGGTGGTAGTAAACCAAGACAAGACCAGCAGAATCATCAATACTTTAAGAGAAGAGAACGTGAGATTACAGCAGGAACTGATGGAATACAAGATGGGACAGGTAATAAGACAATGCGATGGTATTGATGCATTTTACTGCTCTCCACTCCGAGAGTGTGAGAATACAGATGTAAATGATTTTTGGCCGGCTGGTATATTTATTATTTAGGTCTAAAAATTGTTCCTTTTTCCAGAGGACTGGTGAAGAAGGAAACCATTCCGACCTGTTCACGGAGAACACGATGTTGCGTGCTGAGAACGATAAGCTCCGTCTCCGCATCAAGTCCATGGCAGAGGCACAGGATAGCAAGAATGAGGCTATCGCTGAGCTTCGTGCCAAGGCCCTCTGTGCTGACTTCGCAGGTTGGTCAGAATAAGGAACTAAGCTCGTATATAATATATGTAGTGAGAATCATTATCTCGTTGTGAAACTTCGGGCTTTTACAATGTCTACCAATTTACCATACCTCAACTGTTTTTCCTCTCTAAGGCAATGCAATATAACTAACTAATGAAAGTTCAAAACATGTACTGATTGTATAATATAATAGCTTGGCCCACATCTACACTGAACATACAAATAAAATATTTAAACACATATTTAGATTCTACTATTTGCAGGGAGACCGAGAATGAACTTGTTATCTGTTTTAGGAAGTGATTTAGGTGTAATAAATATGTTTATTAATAGCTTTAATGAATTGAACGAGGTGAAAGATATGGCTGCATGCAATAAATGTTGGGACAATTTGTATTATGGGCACAGATAAGCACCCGATAAGCACATTAAGGTATTTAATCTTTTAAATCACTTTTGTTAGTATGATTCTGTTGAATAATAATAATATTTTCAGCATCAGGAGAAACAGATATGACAGAGATGGTACAAGGGTACATCAAAGAGATCGAGAATCTGCGCTCGCAGCTCCTTGAACAGGAAAGCGCTGCGAACTACCGCAGTCCCCGCTTAAGGACCGCGCCTCCAAACAGGATGTCTATGGGTGGTGGTAACTTAAACAGTGCAACCATGATGAACGATAGTATTGATGAAGTGATCAAGGAGGCAAAGTTCGATCTGGAGAAAACTATGGCAAAGAGGTACGGCCTGATTTGAATTATTATTTTATGATCTTATTGGAAGATCTATTCATGTTATCTTTATCACAAACTATGGTGAATTCATTCTGACTATGCTTTTCTGCAGGTCAAAATTAGAGCACATAAAAGATCTAGAAGTGACCAAATTGGAAGAAAACAAGGAAAACATTATCGAAGCTGATGATGATAGCGAGGAGGAAATGGACTGTGAAAATAACTTTATAGAAATAGATGAAGATGATGAGATGGAACGAGGCGAAGAAAAAGAAGAAAATGAAGAAAAGGACTCTGAGGAAGACGAAGATGAGAAGGCAAGGGACGAGAACATTACCTGCATGGAAGAAAACCTCGCAGATCTTGCCGAGGAAATCTCGATCAAGCAGAAGCTGGTGGAAGAGCTGGAAAAGAGCCAGAAGAAGATTCTAGCAATGAAGCAACAGTATGAGGAGAAGCTGAATCTACTGAATAATCAAATACAAGTCACTAGTGATGAGCGAGATAAGGTCATGGACAGTCTCAAGAAGAAGGGAGATGGAAAAAATAACAAGGATGAAATCAGAGCGAAATCCGATCATTATACCAAGAAGTTAAAGAATATGGAACAGGAAATGAAGAGGTTGAAATCCGCGCAACGTGAGCATGACAGATTAGCCAAGACAAATAAGGACAATGAGAAACATCTGAAACACATGCAGACCGAGCTGACACAAATGAAGAAGAACAAGGTGAAACTGATGAGACAGTTGAAGGAGGACACAGCCAGGAACAAGAAACTCGAACTGAAGAAACAACAAGAAATCATCAAATTACAGAGAGACAAGCAGAAACAGGTTACGACCATCAAGAAATTACAGATGGAACAGAAAACCAAAGAAATGGTCCTTAAACGAAAGCAAGAGGAAATCAAGATGATGAAAAAGCAGAAGAACGCGATGTCTATAAAGAAGAAGAACGCCCGCCGAGCAGCACCCAGAACTATGCTCCAGCAACCTAACTTAGCAGAGTCCGCCGAAGAACGTCACAACAGACGATTATCATCCCAGTACTCTTCCTTCTCCGCAAGACAAAGGTGGAACCAGTTGGAGAAAAGGATTTGTCAGAATATTATCCGGAAGCACACAGTCGCACAGATGGAGGCTGATATGGACAGGTTGGTGAAGGACAGGGAAAAGCTGGAGAAGGATCTGGATCGGTTCATCAAGAATAAGGACAAACACTTAAAGGAGAAACAACCTGTAAGTTGAAATTTGGTTTTCCAAGAACATATCATGTGATAATGATTATTCTGATACTTTATGTTGAACAGATTTGTGTTCAAGTATTTTATGTTTAAGTAGATTGCGAGAAAATTTGAGTCAAATGTATTTGCTTTTGAAACTCTGTCACCATTTGAACTTCATATCTCCTTAACACCTGATTCCTTCCACTCGAAACATATCGTCCTCAGATTTATTTTTCCAAATAATCATTTGATAAATCTTTTTTAATATTTATTTAAAAATTCAGAACACTGAAGTATTGCAAGAGTTAGACGAGAACATAGAGGGACTGAGTGCCCAGGTGGAGTATTTGCAGGATAATATAAACGAACATCAGAACGACATTGTGCAGATGATGGACGGAAGAGAGAGTGGTGACACTATAGACCTTCAGGTCAGTAGCTAATCTCTTAGCCATTCAGAGAGCAGTATTCTGGTCACGTGGTCAAAACTTACTAATCAGAGAGCTTTGATGTTAGATCGGTGGACGTTACCGGGACTATGAAATTTCTCCATGGGCAACAAGCCAAGGCTTATTATAAGAGTTTCTAATAATTGGTTATTAACGGATATATTTCAGGATATCATCGACAGTAGCTCGTTATCCGACTGCAAATACCTTCTGGAACATTTCCTCACTTTCACGACCAACAAAGGTCACTATAACAGCATTGGTCTTGTTTTTAGCTGCTAATTTAAAAGATCATAATTATAAGGTTTTAAATTCCCTTATCAGTATGTTCTTTACAATTTTAATTGAACGATTAGTCTGTTCTTTCTGCATCACACACGATGTTGATATTAACCCACTGTATTATACAGGTCTGGCTGTAGCACAGAGTAACGCTAAAGTAAAGGAGATAGAGGGGACAGTAAAGTCTTTAAAACAGGCTCTGGAGGAGACAGAACAGAAACTTGTGGATCAGTATAACAGGGAGAAGTTATTGGAGGAACAAGCCAATAATAGTAGAGAAATCGTGAGTCGTCATGTGAACTTAACTTTTTAGTTTTAGTGGATACTTATGATTTGTTTTGTCGATACCAGGAAAAAAATTGTATCGAACTCGAATGAAATCAACAATACTATTGGCCGCTCAACGCCCCAAATGAAGTCTTGATTTAACAAAAATATGATGCTAATAAGACTAACTCCTGCTTCTCCCAGGACGATCTAGTGGATGCACAGTTCTCTAACGCCTCTATGTTCCAGACACCCTCTAAAACCTACTCCATGTTATGTGGCACTTCCGGGAGGAAGTTCTTCCCTCAACCCTCCTCGGTAAGTCTTTATTGTTATGATAAGTTTACTGGATATGGCGAAAATTTGGCTTCAGAATGGTCTAATTCGCAAAGTGCTATCTCGGGGGCATTTGTGACGTGGTGCTATCAGTGGGGTTTTGTCGTGAGCAAATATTGGAAATTAAGTAAATATGAAATATGCATTATAACCAAAGTGAAGCAACACAGAAGACTTTCCTCGCCATTAAATATTTAAATTTTTGCTGTCGTGTTGCTTTCAGGAAATCGCCCAAAACGTAATATACAATTTTACTACCTTCGAGTTCTATTCCAAGCAGTATTTCCCCAATAGCCTTAGAGTTATGAAAACGGTTTCAAGTCCACTTTGTCCCACAGACGTTTTTTGTGCACTGTTTAGCATTACAGTTTGTGTACAGTTTGTCCTAGACAAGTTTGTGTACAGTTTGCGTACGGTTTGTCATAGACAAGTTTGTGTACAATGAATAGTATGTGTACAGTTTGTGTACAGTTTGTCCTAGACAAGTTTGTGTACAGTTTGTCCTAGACAAGTTTGTGAACAGTTTGTCCTAGACAAGTTTGTGTACAGTTTGTCCTAGACAAGTTTGTGCAGCACTAAAGTTTATGTCCAGTTTGTCCCAGACGCGGACGATAATTGAGCAGCTGCAATACCTAGTAATTATATTCGCTCTTTGGGTTTGTCAAGTTGAGACTGTGACCCTGTCAAATGGAGACAAAGTTCTTTTCGTTGAGAAAGACAAGGTAGTGTCGTTGAGTGCATTTTGAGTGCATTTTGAGTGCATTAAAAGTTAGATTTTCTGTGTGTTAATTTTAGTGTGTTTTACGTACATTTGGAGTGGTTTTAACTATATTTTATCTCAAATGCAGAGGGGGTTTCTCCGTTATTATTGATCATCCGGTGTTGTACAATTTTCAATTAAAGAAATAATATAAGATGAAGTATAATAAGGATTGTGGAAATATTAAAATGTACATTGTATACAAAAATGACCTATAGCAAAGCGATTTGAGTATCTTAATACTTAACTAACATTTTTACACAGCTAATTCCTTCATCCCATGTCCTGACTAACATAGAGGAGTATAATGAATATTTGAAAATGGCTGAGTTTGTGTTTTGATGTTGGTTTAATGATAATCGTTACTTTTGTTTGTTATTTCTCCTGTTTGATTTTTGGTAAATCTTTACTTCGGTTTTCACGATCTTCTTGATTTAATCTTTCAATACACCATGCCAATAAGGATTTGATCAAATTGAATATCATACATAATATGCTTGTTTTATCTTTACAACTTGACACAGTATATTTGCTGAAGCTTCAGTTAAACCTAAATAGTTCTACAAAACTCTAGCAAATCCTCCCTCCCAGTCGTCACCCCCAGTCACCGACACACGGCTAGCAGCTGTGTTGGAGGAGAAACCCCACAACCGCCGCCGGACTGGCACTCCAACAGAACTGAGCTCCGGATCTAACGGATCTCTACCGGACATGGTCTCTCCGGCAACTCCAGTCACCAGTGCAGGTACTTTAACGGGAAGTGGTACTTAGGGTGGGGTTCAAGGTGTATCGAAACTTTGGAATATGTCACGTGACAGTGTGAATCCCGTATCCATGGTTTTCCCAACTAATGTCAGCCAATGAATTTTACGCGTTTTAACGCCTTATCATAATCGAAGCGATGAATGATCTTGTGCAGCACATCATAGGTTGGGATAATACTGGAACAAATACAGCAATTGTCGGGACAGGTCTTTTACTCTGACGACTTGTTGATCAGACATTTCTAATGTTTGACGACGAAACTGACATTTTCTGACTACCCCCTGGCCCCTGATAAAAAATTACAACACAATAACAACACGAAAAAGCACATTAACAATAAACAGCATATAATTGTCTAACGACATGAGCTTCGACAGACAGACGACTCAAACGAAAAGCGATAGTCTCAACCAAACGTTATCTGAAAAAACACGTAGACTCGAGCCCTACTCCCTCCCGTGGAGGAGCCCATGTGATCGTGACGTCATCAGACGGATCACGTGACTTGGTCAAGTCATCACGAGTACAGACCTTGCGGAATGGTAAGTGTTACCATGGCTACACCACGTGTCTGTTGCTGCGCGCAGTCACGTGCTTGCTGGCAGTGTCGAAGTCACGTGTTATCAGGCCGCTTGCTACCGCCCCTTTATTAAGCTGTTTCTCCTTGAAAATGATTTGTTTCAACAAAACAAGTTTCGTAAACTCTCGTGTCTAAGCGATTGTTAGTTGTAACAATTCCTTGATTTTTAAATAACACAAATTTCATTGACTATAGAAAATGACGGTAATCGCGGGGAGGATTTTGCTAATTTTTGCTTAAAAACTGAAAATTCATGGTGCATATAATTATAATCATAAATGAAATTCTCGCCACCTCCCCATGGTTGCAGTTATTGAGTTATCTATTATTGTTTGATTCGTTGCAGCTGCTTTCTGTTAAAAGCTGCTACTAATCGTAACTGTTAAAGCGCTGTTAAAGCGTAACTGTGAGCGCTAATCGCGATCAGATATTTGTGACATCTAATTGGTCAATTAGATAATTAGTACAATCCTCGTATTACCATAGTAACATCTAATTCTTGTTCAGCTAATCGCTTCCGTTCATTCAGTGAGTATCCGCATCCTTCAATCCCAGCACTGCTCCTTACAACGCTATTATCTCATTTTCTAACTATCAATTAATTAGTTATTTAATTGATTCTCTTATTGTAATAGCTACTTGCTATAGCCCCGCCTTTTTGAATTAAGAAAATTGCTTGCCTCCTCTATCCTTATTCCTTCACAGTATGGATCGAAAATAGTTGCACGCCGCCGGCTGACTCACCCTTTAGCGGTTTGGCTCTTTTGAATCTTATAGTTATATACGTTGAAATTGTAAACGTCAACGTGTCACAATATTTTTCTACGAAAATTGATATTGCCCGTAATAACCGTACCTTTCTTTAATCTTAGCACTCAATTCTATTTACTACTGTATTTTCATCAACAAATTTTCTTCCTCTTTTAGCAATCTCCCTGCAGACTGTCATGTCACGTGATTAAACTGCTTTTTTCAGCATAAACACGGCATTACCTTTAATTCCTCGTCTACCTGGTCATTTCCAGTTGCTCCTAAAAACATGATAGCCGAATCAACATTCAGTTCCAATTTGTTCCACTATTGTTAGCAGTGAATTACAAACACGTTCATAACTCTCTGTGATGTTTTATCTACTATTATCCAGTCACGTACACGTGATTAAGACGTGACTAACACGTTATTTGTTTCAGAGCTATCCCCAACAAACTCGCCGAATATTGAACGACGTTCTAGTTCTCTCAGAGATTCGCTGAGGAGAAAGAACGAAGGTTTGGATACTTTTCAATCATGTTATTGACAGATTAATTATTTCTTTCTTTCAATAATTATAAAGCAGTCCAACATGTCAAAGAATATTTTGAACAGCTGGGGAATTACAAATTGTCGCAACCCCTTTGATCAGTTGGTCATGTGACATGTAAATTGTACTAATATCTAGCATTGAGGTGAACATCACAACGTTACACATGCATTAGAGATGATTGTTATGTGTTTATCAGGTAATGAGGCAATTGGTCTGAAGTAGGTCGTTACGGGCGGCACAAGCCTCAAACCCTGCTCTTCGCTGGCTTCTAATTATCCAATCAGAGAGCTGTAATCTAATCACATGACATAAACCAACCAATCAGAGCCCTTCGCTGCATTCTAATTCCCAGAACCCATATCTTCTGTAGTAATATGATACAGAGATATAGTGGTCTGATTAAGATGTATGACACCACACTATCTACACTATCTACTGTTACTCTACCGATTGATCCTCGTCATTAGTACATAGTATCTTCTTGTAGTTTATACGTTTGTTTACTGTTTAAGCGATCTTGTTATCAAATTGTTCATTAGCATATTATTCATTATTCGTTATTTTTTCTTTCATTTCCAATCATTTATAATTCTTATATAACGCTAGTAAACTTCCAATTCTTGTATAATTTTACCACGTAAAAGTTCACATTCTGATACTCCAATAGATAAACAGTGTTGACATGATCCCGCTAGTATCAGTCCCCATGAATTTCGGGATCCAGCTCCTGTCCTCCCCCACCCACAGCACCCTGGAACTCAAAGCAGAGGACGAGGCTACAGTTCTTGCTAGTTCCGTGATACTATCCTTCAACAGTCCCGGTAATAAACCGCATGACCACAACACTTCACCTCAACCAGTCTTGACATGGAGGATTTCAGTGAGGAAGCTGTGAGGTATTTTGTAGATGCGCAGCGTAACACAGGGAGCAAACCCCCCACAAATCTCCCGACACATTTTGGGGGGAAAATTAACAGATGGCCACAAAGTTAAGGGAAAATGGGTGGTTGGGGACCAGGTGTGTTCAACATTTCTCTAACATCACTGATACTATCCGGTCACCCTCCTTTACTGATCTGCTGTTTATATTCGAGGAAGCAGCTTTCGCGGTGTCCCAACTTAAATCTCGGCAGCTTGTTCAGATCATGTTTAAAAAGATTGCAGCTTTGAACTGGAAGCGACAGTTCATAAAGCAGTATTTGTACAATCTGAGTGATTTGTCAAAACATCAGCTGGATCTGATTATAGAGCTAGCTGGAAATGAAGTTGATCTCATAGTTCAACCTCTCGTCACACAGTTGACTGAACATTTAGCTTTCAAAACTGAAGTGATTGCTCAGACTGACACAAAAGTAAAGGAGACTGGTAAGAAAGTGAAAGAGAATGATACTATAATGAAGGATGCGAGTATACAAACTCAAGTTACGGGAACGCAGCAAAACGACGTGGTGGCCAAACCTAAAGAGGTTAGAAAAGTGTTCAATGGAGCTGAATATAAGGAGGGTAGAAGGTCATCAACTGTATCTGAGCCTGTGCCCAAAGCAGCAGTAGCCAAGCCAAAAGATACTAAGACAACTAGATCTGCAACTTTGCCAAGACCAGCTAAAACTACTACAAAGGAAGCCATCACAAAAGCAGTAAAATCTAAGAAAGCTGCATCAACACCTTTAAAAGAGGCGCTCGCTCAGTGTAAAAACGCTGCACTTGACCCTTTAGGGACAGCACTGGACACAAAAGAACGCAAGGTTGATAAACAGCAGCCCAATAAAGCAGAAAGCAAAGAAGAGGTAGACGGGATACAACCAAACTGCCGGTACTTCCTACAGAACTGTGATCTTTCTCTCTGTCAAAAATACCACTCGGAATTATTCGAGCACTTGTTTGACGTTCTCCAGAGCTGTGCGGCAGGATCACAGACAGATCTGGCCTGGCTTTTCCAGGTTCTCAGAAAATCTTCAAAGCAAGCAGTGAGATCGTACAATGTAGACGGTGAGGAAGATAGATACCCAACTACACCGATCAGGCACATGCTAGCAGATCACAGACCGTCCCTGACCACCGCTATTAGCATTGAACAAAGTGAAGATCTGTGTAAAAACGTCATAATATCTTCACAGAGGGTTATACCTAACCTTTTTCAAACCCTTAACTTTGACCAGACGTTTGATGAGCTAGTGGACTGGTTGGGGGGCTCCCAGCAGGTCACTAATATGTTGATGTTTCTTGAAGGGTTGTGGACGTGGATAGCAGTGAACAAGGACAAGAAAATCAAATTCTCTCCTGAGTTAATGGAAAAGATCAGGAAAATAAAACAGGCTCGTCGATGGCGAGCTGTATTCGCCATATACGCGAACTTTCGCCACAATTCAATTTATTCAGAGCAGTTATTCGACGGTTTGAAGAGTGCAAGTAACGCTATCTGTGGAGAATCAGAACTTGGACTGGAGTTCGCGGTGATGGTTGAAAAAAGTCACTACGTGAGCCTTCGTTCCCTTTTCCTAGAAAAAGGGAAACTAGCATTCCAATACGAAAATAAGGGGTTAGAGAAATGCGATGAACCTGGGAAGTGCGGGTTTGTTTTAGCTGTGATCACCTCTGAAGACGGTTACGTGAGTCTACAGCTCTGTAATGACCCTGAGAGTTACTCTGATACGGTGGTACATTACCACGACAGGATCCGCGCTGACAACATGCACTTTATTGCGCGCGACAAGTCCCAGACGTGGAGTTTCCCGCTGAGTTGGCTGGGCAGGCCTCGTGTTGTGGATAATACAGTGTTCTGGGGGTCGTGTAGGAGGTTGCTGAACTGGGCTGATGAGCTGCTCTTTGATGTTTTGTTAGCGTTGTGATCTAGTTGTTGTATCTAGTAGTTGTGATGTAGTAGTTTTTCTTGTTGGTATTTTAGTTTATCTTGTTTTTGTTTTTTTTACGGTCTTTGCTGTTATTCATTACTTTCTTTGTATTCGTGAATTTGCTCTAATTGCTGTATTTTTTCTTTTGTTACATTTATACGTATAGATACTGTAATATAAACTGTAAAATAGCATTACTCATTCTTGAATATTTGTGCATCGTTTTATTTTTCAATATATTCTACAGTAAGAGCAAAGTTAACGAAGGATTTGAGTCTAATTTATCATTGTTGATCATATTGTCTCAATCTTACGCGCATCCTTTTCCCGTAATATTAAAGAACGGCCTGTAAAATCCAGCTGCTTCAGAAATAAATTCCAATAAAATGTATTTCAAACAAAGTTAATTCTCCAACCAGAACAAGTTAAAATTAAAATAACGCAACAAAATAAGTTGTTAACTCCACACTCCACAGGGTCTCCCGCGGCTACAGCTGAGAATGTGTTTGATAGACTACACAGTCACCCTGACGAACCACACCCTGAGGGTCAGATAGTTCCCTTATCTCCCCCCACTACTGATTCTGAGCGCATAACTTGTGTCAGGTACTGTTACATTGCTGGTCATTGGGATGTTATTCAGAGGTTTGGTGTATGGAAAATTCAATCGGAGATAGGAAATCCGATTTGACCATGATACTGTTTTATACAAACGGGAAGTTGTTCAACAAACAGTATCCAAAGAAAACATTTTTATTCATTATTGAAGAGTGAATACCCCCTTATTTTCAGTATGGCTAAAGGGCACACGCACAGCGTACAGTCAGTGTCAGTCCATGGGAAGATAATGGTTACTGGAAGCAGTGATCGTACTATACGAGTCTGGGATTTAACGGACAACAAAGAGGTTTCACTTTCACTTTAACAATCGTTACTGTACAATCTGACTTTGAATGAGCGTCGTCTTTAATTGAAGCTGTTTCACCATTTCAATTTGTGTTATATCTTAAACTTATCAATATTTTGACAGTAACTGTTTTCCGTTTACAGGCGCAACGAGCAGTTTTCCCGGACCAAGTAAAGAAAGTCGTCTTCAACCAGGAGCAATCAGTCGTCTTCGCCCTTACCAGCCAGGCCCTCAAAGCTTGGGATATCAGAACAGACCCTTCGACTTGCAGGTAAACTGTGCCTCAATCATTTAATTGATTAATTAACTAATTGTGTAGAATTAAGAAGCTTACATAAAGCTATAACAATAACATGCGAACAGAAACATAAAATATTGTCCCCGTCAGGTCGACAACCTTAGCAGAGTTCCCCTCCGCCCTGCTGTATCCAGCTGGCTCAGAGTTCATCTACTTTAGTACTGGCATCTCAGTAAGGAGCTGGAACGTCAAACAGTGGACTGCTGTAAGTTCCTTCGCCAATTTTAGAATTGTATCGAGAAATTCTTTAACTCAGAAATTAAGTATCAATTGCAAACAGTTTTCAAGGTATATAAAACTTATAAACACGGACGCGGATATATAGCCTGACTTCGTGCCGACCAACTGCTACTAAATAGCAGTTGACTCCAGCTCTATTTTGTACCTTACTCCTGTAACCTGTTATATAACAGGCTGGTGTTTTACACGGACATAGTGGACACGTGATGTGTCTTGAACACGTGGCTATAAACGATAAGAAGTACATTATCACAGGGTCACGGGACCACTTTTGCAAGGTTTGTACTTAGAGAGTTTATATACAAGTGAATATTGAAACAACTTATTCATTTACAAAACGTTATATAAATGACAATAGTTTTACCGATCAATTATAATTAATTAATCAATTAACTAATAACTCTGTCAGATCTACGATGCTACAGATGGTATTGTATCCGCCCGAGTACCCACTGCGACCCTCAACCCGCCCCACTTTGACGGGATCGAGAGTATTGTTTGGGGGAATGAACATCTTTATAGCGGCTCCAGAGACGCCACCATCAAGAAGTGGCATCTCCAAACTAGGAAGGAGAAGGGGGTAAGTTGCACCCTCTGCAAGGGTATTGCGATTGAAACAAAGTCCCAAGTTCAACTCTCCCTGAGACTTAGTTTCGTATAAAGTGGTAACGTTAGAACTCTGGTTACAGATCTGTTAAAAGATACATTAAGCCACAATATAAGGTACCACCCACCCCTCTACTCACAATGTTCCTCTTCCCCAGGCCCAGAGACCAGCACACAAAGACAGAGTCCAAGCTCTGGCCTACGTCCCAACACTATCAGCCCTCGCCAGTGCCAGCAGAAACGGTACTCTCAAACTTTGGAACGAAGTGGGCTTTGGAGCTGCCGCCAAGACTGATCAGAGCAAGAGTTTAATCGGTTGGTTTCTAATCACCTGCCTGATATTTTTATAATAATTCTCTTTTATCGTATATTTCTGATATTGTTAGGAATTTCTCACTCTGCATTTCCGACTATACTGATATAAATTTAAAATCCTTTTCAGTCGAGATAAACGCACATCCCGGATCATCTATTCAAGACATCGCATACCACAACAATCATCTTTATACAGCTTCTGGGGACACCACCGTTAAAGTCTGGTCTATAAAATGAAACTGTGTGTAGGTTGGAAGTTTGAGATTATAAAAGTTGACTGAGTGAACGAGTTTTTTTGCTGTTACATATGTTTGAAATGTTTTGAGAGGAGAAAAACATTGCTGTGCAATGAAAAATGAGGTGAATCCTCAGTTTGGCTTCAGGGTTGAATTGTTATTTTCGTAAAGTTTTGAATATTTAAAGAAGAAAACATTCCTAATACAATTTATATGACAAAATTTAAAGAGTATGAATAAACTGTGAGAAAAATAATGCATGTTAGTACTTTATCACAATATGAAACACTGTTTTATAGTTAGAAATTTGTACAGAAGTTCCAGCATTTTTAGAAAAATTGAATCTTTGTGTTCTCGAAAAGATACCGTTTAAATATTTAGGGTTAAATGGAGTTAGGAATGTCTTGTTATTTCATATTTCTGACATTGGTTCGAGCCTGAGATATGTTCAAATGTTGATTTGAAATGAATAAAGTGTTTATTTTTTATTTTCCAAAATCGAAAAAGTTCGTAATCAAATGAGCGTGCTCGTTCAATTAAGAATAGAAAAGCAGACTCATTTTGCATGACGTATGAGGTAGCACCTGCTTTGAGAATTGAGTGTTTAACCAGCAAAAGTGTCAGAAGTGGGATTTGAACCCACGCCCACATTCGTGGACCAGAATGCTCATTCGTACGAATGCAAGATTACTCTTGAGTCTGGCGCCTTAGACCACTCGGCCATCCTGACATATTATTATGTGCATTCTTACTCTCTATATAACATTGAATAAAGCCTCGTCACTTCACCGTAACAACAATACGATGGCCATGTGAGTTATGAGTAGCTGTATTGAATTTCGTGTAGCGATAACATTATAATATTAACATATAAGATCATCATGCCAAACAATGCTACAACAATAACATGCACCCCTCCGCAGTAGGATGCTTTATATTAATCTGTTAACGAGTGATTTGATTGACGGTGTCAATCCGTCGAGATCGTTGCTCTGCGAAGCAGAGCAACGATCGACGACGACGGAGAATCGACGACGGAGAATCGACGACGGAGAATCGACGACGGAGAATGCTAGTTCTTACTGGGCCGCGCTCAGCCTGTCATTCCGCCAAATCTTTATTATTAATGTTTATGAACATAATAGCTTGGGGTCCCAGGTAAGCTAGTTCGCGCGGCGCGTCGAAGCGGCGAAGTCCTCCAAACGAGTAATACTCGTAAAATATTTGTTCCAATTAATTGTATTGTAAGACCGTCGAAGTGCGAAGAGTCCATGCATGACTCAGCTCGGCGCTTACGGCGCGCGCACCTTGGTATGTTATTACCTGCAGGCGCCAGGGCCTATTGGCCTAACTTCAAGTATTTGGGGACCTCAGGCTATTATGTTCATAAACATATAGAGATTCATAAACATTAGAGATTCGGCGGAATGACATGGGCTGAGCGCGGCCCAGTAAAATTTTAAACGTAAAAGAAATACCAAATAGCGATTTCCGTTTTTTGGGGAAATGTTCGCCTTGTAAAAATAACGTTTCCCTCATATGTCATACTTGTCACTTGATTGACGATGTCAATCCATCGATATCGACGAAGCAAGATCAATGCTAGTTTGCGCGGCGCATCGAAGCGGCGAAGTCCTCCAACCCTCATACCAGAGGGAAATTTAAAACAACGTAGATTTTGAGTTATTCTAAAATCTCCAGAAAAGTGTCATTTTGGACCGATTAAAAGTTTGCAACTTTGCAGATTTCTGTACTCTGATTGGCTGAATCGTGTCACGTGCTAGCTGCTTGGACATTGGAATGTGCCACGCGTGCAAATGAAGCTCAATGGCGCGCGCGAGCTCAAGCCGTCTGTTTAGGGATGATGATTAATCACTCTACACTCGACTGTCACGTGACTTTTTCAACCCCTTCTCTAGCTGGTCCTGAACGACTATTCGAAAATTTAACCATGTAATCTGATCCCAACCCTAACCCTAGCCAAATCCTTAACAAAAGCATATGCTGAAACCCTAACCCTATCGAGAAATTATACTAACTTCCTTATACGGTCATATCACGTGCAACGTGATCAAGACAGTTTTTCGCCAATATCTCGTCAGGGGAGCATTTTAACCCTATGTCATGGGGTGATTCTGGATTCGGAATCAGCGTCCAAAAATACATCGATTGAAGTTGGTTTCAACTGTCGGGGACCCTTTTAGAACAATCTCGAAGATCGACTGTAGAGTGATTTAGCACGCTCGTCTGTTTAGATTATGGATTAAACCACTTCTAGTAACACTACCAGCCAATAAGTTTTGCTGGGTATGTTATAAACCTAAACACATGATGGCACTTTGGTTATCGATTATTGGCAAATGTGGTAAATAAAAATCGTAATTAATTAAGTGTATTAAATATATTTTTACCTGGGGACCTCAGGCTATCATGTTTATAAATAGAGATTAGGCGGAATGGCAGGCTGAGTGCGGCCCAGTAAATATATATTTATGGCCGCAAAATGATTTAAAATGAAACTAAACGTTTAGTTTATACCGCGCATATTTTCGCATATTACACCCAACAACATACTTTGAAAATCGAACGCTTAACCAAATAATGTCATATTTCGACAAAAGTATTTTAAGAATTATATAGTGTTATTGGTAATTATTGTTGCATTTCAAAACTCCCACTGCCTCCATTTGATCACCGTTTCGATTTGTAACTTGATTATTAACTACGTTTTCATGTATCCTCATTGATATGGAGTCCTCACTCATACTTAATATTCCAATTGTGTTTATCATGTGCTTTATCTCTCAAAATGTTACTCTTTATGTGCATACATTTTATCTTCACCATACTTTATCGTGATTGGTTGATACTGAATTGGTTTTGATCGAGATAATTATACAAATAATGAATTGGAGCCAAACCTAGCAAGGACTTGTGAGATTAATAAGATTTTGAATGCAATCCTTTTCATTGTATCCAACTAGTGAACAATGGTGTAACTAAGGCCCATCTTAAGGGGGCGCCAAATCGTTGTTTGAATGTGGGACAATTTTGAAAAACTTAACTACGGTGCTAGCAAAACTGTGCGTTTTGCTCTAGGAACACACTTTTTTAGAGATTTCACCGGCATATCCTCTAAAATTATCTAATTTGTTCAATTTTAGGGAGGGGCTCAAAAAGGGGGCGCCAACAGGCAACGTTATGTCACTGCTAGCAAAGATTGATCAGGTCATTCTGAAGATGGTTGTGTTTATATTTTCCAGTAACAGTTTCGGCTGCAGCATTTTGTAGTAACTGGAGCTGATGTAGTATCTTTTTAAAGTTTTCCTGAAAAGGCAGAAAACCTTCTTTCTCCATGATTCGTTAAACTTGATCACTTTGGCGATCAAAATTTGATAAGATTAACCCCCTTGACTAATCCCAAACATTTCTACGTTGTTCATAACTGAAGATATTTGACAAACAAGAAAGGTGGTGAAAAGTGGCAAAAAGTGGCCTGAAGACACGTGCAAAGTTTGAAAAAGTTGGTCAGACGTAATGGGCATTAATAGAACTAAGAAATGTCAAAAATTCTCGGAAAGCTTCTTTTGACGGCAGATAATTTAACAAGTAAATAGACATTTATTCCAATCAATAAAATACAATTTCTAATGAAGGAATTTTTTATCAAAATATCTTTTTCAGTTTACTCAAGCATGTTGTACTTCATTTTGCGGGTGTACTATGGACAATTTCATCGCTAGAATTAGAAGTAATCTCATTGGCGATGTTCTGGAAAAAGTCTTTCACAAAGGATCTAAAGTGTTCATTTGTTATGAGATAAATAAATGGGTTCACTATACTGTTTAGTGATAATGCATAACTGTGGAATAAATACATAAACAATGATGTCTCATATCCCATATTGTATAAAATGAATTTTATAAAAGTGGGTATGTAGCAGAGCACAAAAGTACAGCATATCAGTGTTAACATGAGTGCAGTTTTATCCATTCTCCTGTCCCTTCCCTGGTTGTTTTTCGTTGAGTTGTTGCTTCCACGACGTGATCTATTATGGCTCTTCTTCACTGTAACCCATATTGATATATTTGACACTAGGATAATGACTGTTGGAATTGCTATAAAAGTAGCTGTCAACATTGTAATGTGTTTGTAAGCTTTGCTATTTCCATTTACTTTGCTGTAATGAGCCGACATGCACCTCAGAATCTGTGGTATGAAGACAGAGTTTGACTTGTGTGCAAGAAAGACAATAGCTGGTGCTAAAGAAGGAACCAAGAGTGCAAGAATTCCCATTTTGACAAGGAATATTTTACCTATTCCAGTTCCTCGCAATGATATGTTGCTCATGCAGACCCTCAAGCGATAGCATGATACAATTGTCTTTACCATGATTTGAAAATAGAAAGGAACCTCAGACAACAATCCAGTCACAAAACATACACCCAATCCCAATACCCACTTTTTTCCACACAAAGTAATCAGCATGGGAGAAAAATAAAGGGTTATTATGGCTATGTCTGACATGGTCAGTGCTTCCAAGAGCAGAAGAGATATTTTGTCCACTTTGATTGCTTTGTGCTTCAGTGATGAATAGAGTACAAAAATGTTTCCAACAAGTCCAACACCTACTATCACCAAGTTTAGGATAAGCACCAGTACATAAGATGTCATTGAAAGTCCCAGTTTCTCAATAATGTTTTCCACATTCTCGATGCTAGTTTCATTGACATACTTCATGCTGAGGAGTTCTCTTTGGATACCTAAATGGTATTTTATGAAAGTTCTGAAATAATAACTTGTTTAATATTAATATTATATACAATTTACTTTGAAATATGTTACTGATCAATTGGTATGAATAATAAATTCGAATATGGTATTTTTTATCTTACAATTTTACTTCTTAATAGGTACCAACCACCCAACAGATGTTAGGTACTATGAAGTCAGTATGTACTTGTTACAGAAGGCCCAACATAATGAAAAAACAACTTAAAATAATGCAAAGTACATTTCTCTCAAACCAAACTAGTTCTTCATCTGAAAACCCTAGCCTAGTATCAGAACCATCACAGGGATCTCAGACTGAAGTTGTGTCATTTTGTCGTTTTATTCCTCTACATGCAACATTTTTAAATCAACCTACAACTCCCAATTATCTTGAGAATGTATTCACAAATGAAGATCTCAAAGAAAATAACGATGTTCAACTTGTGAGTGACTTAAAAATCATTTTGGAAGTGTACATCAAAAAAGGAAGAGATGAACGGGCTGCAAATATATTAAGGAATATTATTTGCTCTGGTTTTGTTATGAACACTGTTGCTGTCAACGAAATGAGAGATATCTTCATCAACTCTCTTCATTCTGAATTTCGGAATAATACTCTTAATTACTTGGATATTTTGATTTATTTCATCAGAAATGAGGAGCATACCGATATGGATGTCAGTGATAAAAATACTCTTGTCTTTCAACTATTTAAAGATTCCCTAAACAGAGCACTCAGCAGAAATTCTGAACTATTACATAGAGATAGGCTTGAGGACAAGATTGTTGAAACCTCTAAAAGATTGACGCAATATGAGGATTCTGCTGCCTTATTAGACTTATTTCATTTCGAGGTTGCAAAAACTGTGATAAAAAGAAGAGATTTCCATTTCCTCAATTTTATCAACTTTGAGTGTTTGACAAAAGACAATGCAGCAAAAATTGTAATTAAACTTATTAAACAGCATTACTACTCTGAAGCTATTCACCTCATTATAATGAGTGATGCACAAATTGAAGAGCCTGTTGTCTTTGGTCTTTACAAGCGTGTTACTGATCTCAAAAAAACAGGTTCATACAAGGCCATATCAGTTGAAAAACTGGCTGACTTTCAAGAATGGATGTGTAATAATAAGTTTGATGGTGTCATTGAAAAAATAGGAGCAGCAACTAAAGATCGGAAGAAAAACATATCGAATGACTGGAATGAGCTTGACCACATGGATTAATTAACTATTTTATTATGTGAAATCTTTTTAGGATATTTAATCTACAATATATTTTATTGTTATTTATTATTCATGAGACGATTTTGAACAGCTTAATTTATTTGAGAGAGTCGCAAATCTTTATTATCTTTTCATTAATAAACTATTATTCTGACAGTTGAAAACTGCCTGCTTCGACCAGTGCAGATTATATACCTCATGAAGTGTTACAATGCATTTCTACAACAAGAAATAATAGATGAACTAATTATTACTAAAAATGTCAATTTTTAGTAATAATTAGTTCATCGTTCTAAAGTTTTCATCCCTATTAGAGAATGACAGAGGCGGGTCCAAAACTGTCAACTCAAGAACTGGAATCTCTGTCAGAAGAGGAAAGAAATTCGCTGCTTGCTGTTCTTGCTAGAGCAAAGGTTTTTAAAACTAATGTCGAAATTTTGTTATTCACCTCAATTTAAATTAAATCAATTGGCAGGCCAATAGAATCTGTTCACAGCGTTGAAAAAATGTAATATATTTATCGAATTATTTCAGGAATTCGAAAAGATGGAGGAAGAAGAAACTCATCGACCTATCGAGGGACAACTACTGAAATGGACAAATGTGGTAAAGGGTGAGTTGCACATCTCAAAAATAGATATTGTTTTGTCCTAAGTCTTAAAATACGGTTTTTAAAACTAGATTAGCTCCTTTCCTTTGGCACCAGGTGGCAACCGTTCTAGTTATCAAAATATATTATTTCAGGGTGGCAACAAAGATGGTTTTTCCTCTCTCCTGATGTTGGTCTCCTTCACTACTTTTTGGTATGTTTGACGCCTCATTTTCAAGTCTCTAACCTTCCATCTGAACTAATGACTAGTAATCTCCTGAGTTTATATATTGCACAGCAATTCGAGTCTAGATCAAGCGCAATGTAACATGTCGAGTCAGAAGTGAAATGCGAAAATATCCATAAAACGGTCTAGTACAACACTTTTTCAATAGTACTAGATTAGGTTTAAATAGTAGTTTCAAACGAAAGGAGTCAGGATATCTTATTGTAATGGGTATGTTATCCTATTATTCGAAGAAGGAAAAATACTGGACAAAGAAACTCTGCTTTTTCTGATCGGTTTAACCGTGTTGTGACAAAATTTAACAAAGCAATTGTCAGGCGTACAATTATTTTGAACAAAATTAAAAAAAACTGCATTAATTGCTTCATTAAGTTTGACATGTGCCACTTGTCATGGAGAGAGTATGCCACCTGGACTCTAGTCTGAAACGCACCCAAGTTAATAAAACAAAATTTTTATTAACTTGGCAGCACCAGCATGGCAAAGTAGTCCACTCAAATACTGCACATACCAGAATTTCTTCAAAGAAAGCGTGTATTCAAATGTTCGAAAACAGCTAACAAAACATAATGGTGTCCTGAAGTAAAGGTAAACCCAAATAACCCCCACTAACTGCACCACAAATAAACTAAGATAGTAAGATTAGCTACAGGTGCAGGTCCACAGGTGCTGTTTCCATCGTTCATCATCTCCTTTACCTGCAATGTTATGGTCTGGTAAGTTCAGTTCACTGACAGTTCCGATTGGCTCGGTGTCTCATCTGACATTACATAAAGGAGGAGTTAGTATAAGTACTGATCTTGCTGTGATTACTGATAATCTTTCCTAAATGAGAAAAACTTGGAGCCAAATTCGACCTGAGCTTCTGTAATGGCTGTTATTAGAAGGAAATCTGACATTGTACCGTCACAGATTAACCCTTGGAACACTTTATCCAAATTTTCACTGGACTTTTTTCTTTAAACATCGGCGTATTTAAGTATTTTTCATTCGATGCGAAAAAAAGAAACTCAGCTGAGGTTGTCCATTAAATCACACAAAATGCAAAAACAACTGAAAAACGAAGAAATTATACCGTGGCAATGGAAACAGCAATTATTGAACTTCGTTATATTATCATTTGTAACGTAAGATGTTGATAATATGCCCTAATATGACAGATGTTATGTCATATTACAGATGTCACAAGAATGGGACTGATTTGTAACAATAAATGCGATGACTTTCTAACTTTCAATAGATTTAGCTCATCATAACTCATGAGTTAAGTGTAGAAACTAGGTAAAATAGTCATATAATAATGATAACATTATTTATGATGGCAACATGATTAAAATAGTATTTTCTTCAAACATAATGTTTCCTCGAGTCATTGTTTACAATTACTGTACTGTCGTAAAATTAGTAAATTAGTAAAGTTGTAGCTTTTAAAAGTAGTAAGTACTGTGCAAGTTATGGCTAAATGTCAAACCAATTAAATGCTATAGTAAACTGTAAAGACTATACGTTACTTAACAGATCACAGTTATTGTAATAAGTAATATGGTATAAATATTAGATATCAGAGTTATGGGACCGAATGGCATCGTTTAAACAAACTAGACCAAAGTAAAAACAGTAAAACATTTAAGATAGCTCAACTGCACGCACAATATATAATTAACATTGGCACGTCCTATTTCAGTAATGTAACGAGAGGGTAAAGAATGCACACTTGAAGTATTTATATCTGATCTATCCCATCTGTTGACAGTAACTAATTAGAACCGGATACAGTTTAGATAAACGACTGATAGAAACCTTCGTTGGTAGTGTCGAACAAAAATCACTAAACAATCCTGTGAAGCAGGAATAGAAGGTGTGCAGTTCGTTCTGATTAATCAAATATAACCTGATTGGCAGCAGTATGTATCCGAGCTCTAGCAGGACATTTAAAGTAGTAGCAGATTTGGTAGTCGCAGAAATGGTAATGAACCGCCGCGCGTGTGGGGAATACTTCTCTCCGGCGGCTTCTGATAGATGAGTCAACAAATCATTAGCTGTGAGTGGTGGACTGGACTGGTTGGTTTGGAATGTAGCTTTCTGATTGGTTGGTTTGTGTCACGTGACTAAAATGCACCTCTTTAATTGGTCAGTTTGATAATTAATGGAACAAATCGTTAGCATCAAGCAACATTGAACTATTGAACCTACTTGAAAAGTAAGTAACAAGTTATGACTATCAGTGTTGTACAGGCACAGTTATCCGTGTCATTGTGAAGGAGCTATACTTTGTGAGGACGTCATAACATAAATCAGTAAACAAATCAGTAAACAGAGCTACTACTATACTATACTATATACTAAACTGTTGTTTAGTAATGACTGTGCTAATAGGTGCCACACTAACTTGGTGGTGTGATAGTTATTGGTACACCAGGTGTCACAGAATCCTGACCCACTCGACAAACCTATCACCAAATAAAATACGTTCTCGTACAAACTCTAATAAATATTATAACATTAGCATACTTAAAATATTATAACTTATATTAAGATATTATCTAGCATATTTAAAATATTATAACTTATATTCAAATATTATAGTCAGTAGATTGACATCCAGACACAGAGTGGTAAGTAATGAATATTGACACGTCGTTGATCCTAAACTGCTGAGTTAGGGATGGTTGAGCGTTATATTAGAGATGGTCATTAAACGACCAAGATAGTTCTGGGCACAGATTGTAAGCGAGACAACAGTAGGATAACATATTATTAACACTAAATTCATTAGTTTTTGAGGAGTTAACAATAAATTAGTCGATTGTAAACGTGTCTGAATAATGATGTTTAATAAATGCTCGTTGCAGCACATGTGACATGTCACTTCAGAGACATGTTACTAAGTTGTGTTGCTTCGTTACTTAGTAGTGGTATCAGGCACCAGCTGATCAAAGTGCACTTCTATACAACTTTCAGACTGTGAAATGTGTTGCATGTGGTACAATACTGCCACAAAACTTTAAACAGAAACTGTATGACCAAGTAGTATGAGGTAGTGCGTTGACAACCAAGGCTCCAATGAGTGAGGTAACCCATAGTGACCGAGTTATTAGGTTAGTGTAGTTAGGGTAACTACGGTTACTATGGTTATTAAAGTAACTAAGGTTATTCAGGTTACTACGGTTACTCGTGTTACTTGTCGTCATTACTTTAAAACACCCTGTCACTTTACACCTCTGTGTAACGTTAACGTGTCATTTGACGCTGCATCCACATAGAATTAACTCATTACTTCTAGAACTACTGGGGATCTGAAACTATGTGTTTCTCAAATGACAAGCTGTCTTCTTACTCCTTATAATGCACAGCTGTAGTTATATATGTCTATATCCGCAAGTTACTTCATGGAGGGCACGAATTGGAGTGTTCAAGTCCCGGCTGCGCTGGGTTGTTTGAATTATTTTACTGTCTCTAAACGGGCACCGTGCTAAAATACAGATAAACGGGTGATATTTCAACAGATTGTGGTTGTTAATCAAATACAGATAAACGGGTGATATCTCACACAACTGATTGTAGAACAACTACAATCAGTTAATAAATGTGTTCATAAGTGTGAGATCAAATAATGAGCAGCGTAATTATTGTCTAATTAGCTTGTTAACTATAACACCAGTCTTCAGTTAATTGCATTAGATCTGCTACGGCTAACTATGGAGAGGAAAATATACTCAGGATTGTAAGAAACATTTTAGGACAATTTTAGTGTTTCTCGGGCAATAAAAAGACATGAAATGGTGATTGTCACAAGCAGAATGCAGCTCTCAGATCGGTTGGTTTACATCACTGCTCGTAGCCGAAATGATCATCAATCACCAAAACTATTGGAAACTAATTTATAAAAGTTAGTTTTAAAGTTGGAACCCCGCTGTAAGCATATTATAATGACAATAAAAACATAATTATAAGCACTTTGAATAATTACCTATCTTCGTGAATGCTAAATTCCATTGTTATGTGACATAATTAAATGTCTAGCGTCTATTTCCCACTTTAACCTTGTAACTATTGAACCTACATTAGCAATAAATTACCACTAGTTTAAATAATTAGGAGGTATTTATTTAGTAATAATTTAATTAGTAGTATCTTTAAATAGACATATTGAAGGTCCCTCACGTTTATTTAATAGTACCGATAAAGATAACCTCATACTCAAAACACAATGGATCAATTTAATTTTTAAAACAAATAACAATATCCCTGCTATTTACTAGTAAACAAACTATGAAGCAAACTATCAAGCATTGGACAACAAAGTTTCCGCTATTTAAACGGGAATTAAACAAGCACAAAAGCAGTACTCTTCCGGAACCTTCTAGAACTTTCCGTATCTCATGCACTACAAAACACAGCTAATATTATGTATCGCGGCGCTCGGCCAGAATATTGGACAAAAGTAGATGATGTTAATACTAGTAGTTTTGATGTAGTCAATTTATAATTTATAATATCTACATCAGTATAGTATTGTGGATTTGTGGTACAGTAATGTGAATTTAGTAATGTCTATTTTACGTGTAAGTGTTAAATTGCTAAATTACACCCGACCTCATTGAAGTATGAAGTGAGTGCTGTTTAGTTTGGGATATCAGATATAATGTGGACCTGTGATATAATGTGATGTGTTATCGAGAAGTTAGACAGAGTTAATGAGAATAGTGTGTTCTAATAAATTTGCTCATATCATTTTTTCCTTTTAAGTTTAACAAACGATTGTTAGAGATCTTTGGAAGCAGATAAAACTACTAAACACTGTAAAACTCAATTTTACACCTCTCTAATACAGAGAGGTCCGCTCTGTAGCTGTACTAGCTTCAAAGTTAAATAAATACGTTCAGCCACAGAAAAGGAAAAAACAATGGAAAGATTCAGCTGCTTTCTGCGTGTGTAATATAACAATCAAGGTCCATTTCGAATAAGTAGATTATCTCGGCCTTGTAATATTAGCATAGTGCCCGTTTAGCAAGTGTAACCTATTTAAAGGAATCTGTCCCCACTAGCTCTCTGGATGTGTCCAGAATACAGCTCCCCCTCTCTCTCTCTCTGATTGGCTAGTTTACGTCACGTGTCCAGAATACAGCTCTCTGATTGGTTGCTGTTTATACTGTTAGCAAGCTAACTACTAATTTTAGCAGTCACGTTGTCAAACACTGTTATGTGAACATAGTGCAAGTGTAATTTTTCAAATTGATCTAGTACTGGAATACTGAAATACTGAAACAATCGCCTCGAAAGTCAATGAGACAGCTGGTTTGTCGCCACGTGAGTCAAATTAACCAATCACCCAAATGGACAACTGAACAAGCTAGAGACTTAATACGAGAGGAATAAGGAATTAAGCACTGATTATATAATTTAAGATGTCTTAATCCATTCAGACCTATTATCAACATCACCAGTGAATTTGTAGTCTGAGTAAGTGAGTATCGAAATGGAAATGGCACAATTGCGTGGATAAATCAGTATCAAAGCGCTGATAGCGCCACCGAATAGCTTTAATGAAAAATGTTTATTTGCATAACAGATGCAGGGAACTGGATCAGGTCCAGCACGTGCACTAACTCAGTCATTACATAGAATAATATATAATTATTATAATATTATCATTATACTTAATTTGACATAATTCGGGGATACTAACGCATATGCATCAGAGTGGGGCGACTCAGGCGAGTCTATGATTCCAGGACTGGACTATATTCATCAAAATACTGCTATCTCTCTCTCTAAATTAGAATCATCTGCATAATATCATCTGCATAATATCATCTGCATAATACCTTCTACTTGATCACATTTTATCTGAAATTAACATGAATTGAAACGTGGTTCTTTGTAGTGTTAGCTAGTCATATTGTGATGCAAACTAACCAGCCAGACTTCAGAGAGCTGTATGCGAGTAGAGTGGCTCAAGCTAACCAATTAAAAAGCTGTATTGTAGTCACGTGACTCAATCTAACCAATCAGATAGCTGCATTTTGGTCATAAGACCATACTTTAATACTTATCACCTGTAACATACCAAAAAAACTCTCATTCGAATTTTAGATGATATTTACACACATATCAAAGTCTAATTTTTCGCTCACTGACGAACGTTTAAAAAGCTAAATAAGATGAAAAATGCCTGTCTGTTTGTGAAAATTCAAAGTACCCACTCAATGGCATATTTAAATAATGATAATTACAACGTGAGATAAATGTCAGCACCAATTAGAGAGCTGTATTTATGTCACGTGTTATATTCATATGTCACGTGATTCACGTGTTATATTCTTGTAAACCTAACAGAACTATTTCAGTCGGAGGATAAGAAATTGATGGGTCCAAGAGGTTCTCTACGACTAATTGTAAGTGTGAAAACTTAATCTCACATCTGTACTTAAATTTAATGTCAAAATAGTATGATATCAGCATTAAAGCAACTACTTTACACTGCATATTATTATTACTGGATAACTTAATTGTCTTATTGAACCATGATATATTCAATAACAAACTCAGAAGCACATAAGTTTTTCTCTTCATGTTATCTGTTATTAGATTTCTCCCGGTTATTTACCCCTCTGAAATTAAAGATATTAGATTGCTGATTAAGTTATTGCCACCTAGGTCTCAAGGTTATTATAATGTGATATAATTACCAATATTCCAGGGCGCTGTGGTTCAACCCTCCGGAGAGGACCAGCTAATGTTCTCGATCGTTCCACAGCAAGGAGACCCGTACAAACTTAAAGGTAAGAGAGACAACCAACTATATAGCTGTATTATAGTCACGTGAGTCAAACTGACCAATCAGAGAGCTGGATCTTGTTTCTAGATTGTTTCTCAGAAACAAAGTAGACAAACACTACTACTACTACTACTACTAACAACAAGATTTCGACATTTTAGGCGCTAAATAAGACCAGAAATCAATGTTACTCTGCATCATCTTCACTAAACTAAGCTATGAATTACCAACTTTGGTGAACAAAGCTGGAAGCTTGCGAGTTGTGTGTCTCTTCAAAGGGCTTATAATCGTGACGTCACATATTGTTCAAGGTCACCTCCTAATCACGTGACCTCCTAATAAACCTCCGATATATTGTGCACTGGACCTTTGATCTATTGATAAGCGGGAAACTGTATAGCTTATGTAGCCAAGATATTGACCTCGTGAGAGTGAGATTACAAAGAAGTAGTATCACGTGATATCTACTCCGGCAGCTAAGTAGTACCTCTTAATGGGCAGTAATTTGGGGTGGCGGGATAAAAAGGGGCGAAGAATGGTAATTTGGTATCGTACCTCCCCTCTAATCTAATTTGTATCTTAATCAGTACATCTTATGAAATGTATGCTTGTTCATAACATCTGCTTTTTTAGATACACTTGTGTAATTATATACACATGTGTCTAGAAAAGCAGATTTGATGAGATGAGTCTTAAATTCTGTGATATATACAAATCAATCACATAAAGTAAGACTTGCTCAACGTAGCTTAAATTCGAGGCAAAGCATATAATTTCCGGACTTTAATATCATACTTGGCAACAACATAACTAAATTGAACATGTCAGATCATTTTATTTCGAAGAGTTAAACTAATTAAAAATATGTACGGTAAATGATGTCTGATTTCTCTTTCGCTGTGTTAAAAGGTGATAGCGAAACTATAAAATAGCAACTAATTCCCAAGTGATTACATAAAGAGATAACAACTTTTATTCCCCAGTGGCTACACTAAAAGATAAGCAAGTGTGGATAGACCGTATTCGAAGAGTTATCGAGCGCCACACCACTGATGTCAATACACTGGTACGCACAGTCTTACTACTATACTTACTATTATACTTACCACTATACTTACTATTATACTTACTACTGTACTAACTAATATACTTACTATTATACTTACTACTATACTTACTATTATACTTACTACTATACTTACTACTATACTTACTATTATACTTACTACTATACTTACTATTATACTTACTATTATACTTACTACTATAATTACTATTATACTTACTACTATACTTACTACTATACTTACTACTATACTTACTAATATACTTACTACTATACTTACTAATATACTTACTACTATACTTACTATTATACTTACTACTGTACTTACTACTGTACTTACTATTATAATTACTACTGTACTTACTAATATACTTACTATTATACTTACTAATATATATAATCATCATTTTTTACTTACTATAACTATTGGTTATTGTTATCCCTAAAAATTTAAACTGCTTCAATTTTGTTCATGAGGTGAACTGTATGGTCATTGTTATCTGTAGATGTTTAGTCTCTGTGTAACCGCTTCACACTCTAGTGTTAAAAGTATGTTGTATTATATAGGGTACTGGGTAGGACGTGTATTTTCACTAGGGTAATGACTGGATCTACTATACAAGAAAGCAGCAAAATACATTGTAGGGGGATTAGGTGTGATTTCTGTACAATAAAACCACTTCAATACAGCAATACTAACTATTTCAATCCTATAAATAATGGTAACAAACCAATTATCGCAGGTAAAAGCAGCCGCTGCTACAATGCCAGGACAGCAACAAGCCACGGAAAATGTTACTATAACAAGATCACAAAGCAATTCCTTCCGCAAATCTAAACGTTCTAGACCCGTAAGCTTGTAGCTTTGTAGATAGTTCAATACTACTGTGTACAATAATTCAATACTAATTCAATTTTGAAATTATTGATGCATACTAATTAAATGCTTTTGATACTACTGTCCATCTTTTCACTGTTAAGAGAAGTTTTAGAGTCCCATTTGACACTCTGAATATTGAACTATATATAGTATATTAACACAACACCATTACAGGGAAGCACCGTTAGTACTGTCGGTATGGCTGTTAACACCGCGGTAAATAGCAATCCTCCGGCTCAGATGGTTGACATGAACAAAGTCCTGCATTGTTTGAATACCGGTCACAGGAACCAACTTCTCATGAACCAGTTTATTGAGGTAATAAATACACGGAGGGGTTGTGATGACAGATTTAGTTATTTCAGCAGACCAATGTACAATAGTGCCATACTTGAATGTTTAATGTTGAGACTTTAATGTTGAGAATTGAACACACATTTCATTTCAGGATTCCGATAAGTTCGCTGATACAGTAAGTACTTGTTTTAGTATGGTTGTTTTAGTATATTCGCCCTGGATCAACGTGCTGCAAAATACAGAACTGACTGTATATAATATGTTAATACATTATGTCTGCCTTGCTTTCTTCTCATAATAGACATATGTTTACCATGATATTTTACAGGCAGTGTTGCGGTACAAAGCTGCATCACAGGTAAATATCAATTGGGTGTGTTATTTATATGTAAACTTGTGTCACGTGAACAGCATCTTAAGCGGCTCGTTTAGACCTTCTGGCGCGCGCGGTCGCCGAACGACATTCATGTAACGCAAAAAATCATCTCTCACATTTATTTTGTGCGCGTAAGACGCGACGCGCGCCTACGAATTACATGGAATTGTGTCCGTATAAACAAAAACATTACCTGTTATAACTCCTGTAATTTGACCCATAAGCTTAAAATACCACATTCTAGAATTTTCTCTCCTCATTTGCTTTTATTATCATATCATCAATTCTAAAATACAGAGGTTCTTTATTGTGATAAGAACCGCTTCCAACTTATTACCTTATGTGTTTCACTTTTGGAATGTCTATGAATTATCAATATCTCTTTCCAGGCACTGTTCAAGCAGTTGGACGAATGTTACAGTATCATCAACCACCTAAAGGTTGGTGACGAGAGAGACAGAATATCTTCCTTTGCAAGCGTCACCAGCGGTGAAACCAGCAGTCACGAGCCTGTCAGGTAGTGATATTTTTAAATGTTATACATGACAATTTATCCCAAATATTCACAATTTGTTTGTATTCTCAATTATGAAGTTTATACTACTGGATACAAGTTAGAAATAAAATCAAACCACCAGGCACACACAATATTTTGTTTCGCTGATATTTTTATAAATTAAAAAATAACCACAACCCTCAGATCCGGCAGCACAGGACAGAAAACTACTGACTCTGAGGAAGCAACCTTTTCTGACACCTACAATCACATCTCCAACTCTATCAACCATGGTGAGTACATGCTAGTTAGCTAGTGCAGCTTCAGTTGTGAATATCGCATTTGTAGGCATTGCTTTAGTTCAGGATACCGCATTTGTAGGCATTACCTTAGTTCAGGACACCTGCATTTGTAGGCATTGCTTTAGTTTTGTATTCTGTTTTAGTTCATCTCGCAGTTCGCAGAAGATATTATATTGTCATTCTGTACCTCATTATACCTCATTCAACTCTGCAGTTGTGTTGTTTTAATTTCTTAGTTTAAAGTTTAAAACATATAATCGGTAACAGTCGGTCGTAATGAATTTCTTAATGGTATGTAGTATATGTAATATGTATCCTGCGAAATTAGTGAGAATACTCTAAAGATCAATTTAATACAATTTATTTATTAACTGTTACACCAGCTAATATAAGTTTTATTACATTTTCGTTACAAATACTAAAAGATACCCAAGATAATCGTAGGTGTAAAAAGTATTAGTCATAACAAGTTAATTAGTCATAACAAGTATTATGAAATGTTCGTAGCTGCTATAAATATACCAGTAATCACAAGTACTATTAAATATTCGTAGGTGCAAAGCATATCAGCCACATGGTTTCCGAACTGGAGGCAGACGTTGTCGTAAGTTCGCTGATTACTAAAATTGCATCGACAGACCCACTAATAAACGGACAGACCGACAAACTTACTGATTTCCGGGATTCAATCTGTGAGATTATTGGTTCTATTTCGAGTAGTTCGGGTGGTGATGAGTCTGAAACGTTTAAGGATGAGGAGTCTGATAGTTTTGGGGGAGATGGGTCTCAAAATAAGGGAGAGAGGTCTCAAAGTAAGGAAGACAAGTCTCAGTATTTGGAAGACAAGTCTCAGGATAGACTAAATGAATCCCAAAGTATTGGAGATCGAGATGAGTATCAAAGTTGTGACGAGGTGTCTCCTGAATGACTTATGATCGCCGTTTGGTTTGTCAGTAAATATAAATCAGGGAGGGGCGGTTGTTAGAAGATGAAGCTCAGTGCAGTTTTGCTCATAAGCTCAGGACCTGTGTAATTGGTTGTATAAATCGGGACTCTCTGGTTACGAAACTTGTTCTATAATTTCATTCCATAAAATGTGAAATCTTTTCATTCTTGGTCATTTTGTTTATTCTTGGGCGCTTCGTTTTGTTCATTCTTCTCTGTAATTTCTTTCAATGTTGGTTACAAAAGACAGACAGTTGACGCTTATGCAATATGCTTGTAAATACTCCAGCTACCAGCTACAGTATGAAAGATTAGCATGCTGTTTGGGGCTTGACTAACTGTTATGTCAGATCAATGTGCTCTTTGTGAGCTATACCCTGATTAGTGATTATGCCATGGTTTTGGGAAGGAACCATGATTTTTTGTCCATTTTTAGACAGAAAATACCTTGAATCTTGATCTCTGTATGAGCTGCTAATGCCATGGCGAATGTATTCTATGTTCTGTGTTATGTCTATGCTGATGCCGATTGCCAACTCTCTCTGATCCACGCTATAAATCATCACAAATGTTCTGCTCCTTTACAAACAAAACGATCTTTGGGACTTCTTTGATCTTGTGATTATCTCATGAAACACTCTGCAAGCTTCCAAGTAGCTTTAGCACACCAGCACATCAGCACACCAGCGCTGACAAAGTGTCTCCATTTCAGATAAGAGAAACAACTCGTAAGATGATGAGAAGTTTCTCCAAAAGTGGAGGAGGGTCCAGGAGAAGCAATAACTGGCAAGGCTGTACTAGATCCAGGTCAAGCAGTCCTAGGGACAGCATTTGTGGGGACTCTTCACTGAAGGGGCCGTAGTGGGCCAATATGGGGTAGAATTGTTCTATAAACAGAATTTAATAGTTCGATAGAATTACAATTTGTGAGTGTTATAAATGCAGCAGATGGGAAGGGTGGAGGGTGTCAGATACATTGCATGGGTAAGATGGTTAAATTGAGCTATGAATAATAAACATGGGTCAGATTATAACATCACCGGGTTGTAAACATTGGTCAGGTTGGTTAGATATACTAATAAATGGAAGTGTCGTATATTATCTCTGTTCGCAACCAGTATAGTAGCCAAGGAAAATGGTCTAAAATATTGTTTTCAAGACTCACTGTCGTAGTATAGTATATCTGATCGGGAAGAAATTTATCAATAAATATCCAATATTTCATGATTCAGTATTAATTGTCGGAATATCCAAGTTAAGTGATCCTGAAAGTTTCAGTGGTTGTTATAAATTGTGTAAGTTATGGGAAAATTTGAAATTTTTGATTTATTGTTGTATTTCATAGTTGGAGTTTTAATTTTTTATGCTACAAATTTATACGAAGTTTATATAACGAATATGATGAGTGTGAGAATGAGGTTTCCTATAGAGTTCCCAACGTTCTGATTTTTATACCAGTATGATTGTGAATTGTTTAAAATTTTCGTCACTCAGTTTTCAGCCTATATGGCTATTTTGTGTTTTTGGTCAATTTAAATTTTGAGCCACTAAGATCTAAACAGATACCGATACATTTTATCATTCGTTATAAAGTTGTTGCGGGTCAAATGAAATTGAAGTTACTAACTATGAATAACTACAATCAAAACAGACACATCAAAAGAAGAAAACTTTATAATTTTAAATGTTCTGTGTTCTCAAACGCCAGTTTCATTTGACAACGCTAAAAAGTAGATATTTTTTCTTGCATTGCTCGCTATTTCTATGATAGTTTATTGTAGTTATACATTAAACTAATAGAGCTTAATTGAACAACCTGGTGTATGATACTTGGTTAAAATTATTACTACTAATTCAAGACGTAGTTGGTATTTCATAAGAATAGGAAATACTACAATTAATGTAAATACTTAAATACAATCTACGTCATAAAATCCGGTCATAGAAACAGAGTATTTTGGCAAGATACTGTGTGATATTAACAAACATATTTCACATCAATTAAACCGTGCTAGCCAAGTAATCTAATGACTTTAATGGAATAATTGTTTACTTTGTTTTTATTTACTGATTGTACTTTCCTGAAACTAATTATTGTTTGCTGATAACCGGGGCTGAGAATCTACAGAAAAGAGGGCCAGTGAATGCGATTCGGTCTGAGGAACCGTTTTAAAAAGAAGCAGAAAGATGAACGAAATGAAGAAAGTAGAGATGGTCTGTTGATTGCTGGGGTCGAAGAGTGTGTGCCAGGCTCAGGTAATTTTAACCTGGACCAGAACTGAACTTTTTATATTAACCTGGATGGTTTATTTTTATAATTAGTTACAAACATACTATAGACAGTAAACACAATTCACAAACTGACATTTTCCAGTTTCTCCTGACAAATACATAGCTCATTGTAACTGATCCAAGTTCCTTTGACGGCTCCCTCTCTCTCTCTCTCTCTCTCTCTCTCTCTCTGTCCACAATTACAAACCACGTTTACGTAAATCCTAGACGGTACGTGACGCGTCACATAACGTAGCGGACAGAAGCAGTAGAACATGAATATTATCCAAGTCTTCGTCGTCATATTGCTTGCAATCCAATTTTCTAACTTGTTTTTCGTGTGTTCAGAGATATTGAGGCACCACTTATACATCGTATAATTTGAGACACATTTTTCGTATTTAACAGCCCTGATGTGCCCGCCCGCCTTGTACTTGTCGACAATTACATTATGTGTAGGAGGTTTGGCTATTATAGGTAATTATAATATAGGGGGTACCTATTTTAGGGGTACCTAATACCTTGGGGGGGGGGGGTGTACCTAATACCTTGTCGATATCCCATCAAAAACCACTGTCAGTGTCACCCCCGTGTACTGTAAAACACCAAGGAACTACTATAACCTCTAATATAACAAGTTGGTGGCGCACACTACACAGTGACAGTAGTCGTATTACTGTACTTTGCTTTTATATAATATAATATAGCTGGTCTTCGTATGTGCTCAACTTTCAAGTTGTCATGCCCATATATGGTCTGATTGAGAGGTAAACATGAAGACATAATATCTTTGTTTTTCACGATCTTTACCGGTCTTTACTTATACCTGATGTGACGTTTAAGTTGGGATGATGTAGTGAGGTAGTGGTTAGTTCTTTTAACAACTTTAACACTTGTTTTGACTTGCCCGTCTTGTGAGTAAAATTTAGTCGGTAGTTGGGTGTGTTAAATTTAAACAGTCGTTAGTTGGGTGTGTTAAATTTAAACAGTCGGTAGTTGGGTGTGTTAAATTCTTTGAAACGCAGAGTTTCGTTTTATCGCACGTTTAGGAGGTTGAACTTAAAATCTGAAGTTAGAATTACAGAACTTAATAGAAGTTTCATATTTGCTAGTTGCTACCTATTGAACAATAGTTCTGTCCGTGTAGCGTGTAAATGTTTCAGTCACATTCCGGCCCTCATGAGGCACCTTGGCACGTTAAATGGGTTACGTCTTGGGTTACCATTTGCATTGTTCACTACCTTACTCGGGAATATTATAGCGGGTTAATTTATGACTGGGAAAATTAATAACCGGGAAAAATATGGCGGAATTTCCCAAAACCCGCCAAATTATCCCGGTCATGTATTTACCGGTGGCCGACCTTTCAAGTTTTTTTTCAGAGGTCAACAAATTTTCAACCGAAATTTCTGTTTTTGTTACTTGTTAAAGAAGTTATTTCAATTTACAGTTACTGATCCCTTACTGATATTACTCAGAAATAGAAAAAAAGACACGTCTAGTATTTAAAGGAAAATAAATCTATAGCAATAATAAGTCAAATCTTCATTAAAGCGTATTCTCATTCTCATTATCGCTAATGTCCCCTCCATTATCATTATTGATATCCCCCTGCTGCTGACCGTCGTTGTCTTAACAAGACTTTCATTTTGTCCGCTAATGGGGCTACTGCTCTGAAGGTCAGCCGGAGCTTAATTTCCTGCCCACCGCTTGGTATTGGGGAACGTCTTGGCTTTGCATCTTCAACTGCTCCAGTAATCAATCCACCGTGGACC